TCAGAGTTCCAATCAGAATAATCGCAATTAATATTATCACGGTTATCTGAAACTGACAATAATGAAGAGTATTCTTGAGGCTTTCACGGGTGTTACCTATGTGACAATCTTGCGTTTCGCGGGTTTTCTCCGTGTTCAGATCAGAAGAGTGTTATCTTCGTTAAATATTACATCTAAGGATATTGATTTTACATCATTAATTTAATACGTACAATTTCCATTTCGACTAGGCATTTCTTTGTGTTTACGAAGAAAGTCATGCGAGAGTGATAAATTGCTGCGAACAAATACTAATTTTTTCACTCTCTTAGAGTAGTCGAGACGGTTTCTTTTCTTCGAGTAAAGAAATCAGTCTGACCATTTGACCTTTCGCACGTATATGAAGTTGAATGTAATTGTAGTAAACGAACAGCAATTGGCGTAATAGAAATTCTGGATCATATTAATATGATGGACATTAAAAATTAGGTAATATGTCATTTGCATAGCGAAAACAGGAATTCTTCGCAAAAAAAGGAATTTTTTCCGGTTTTCTCCCAGTAATAAAAAAAATCTCTTTTTTTAAATTGTTATATAAAGGCTTCTCTCAACCTTAATAAAAAATTTACTTCGAAAATTTAAACAATTTATAATTAAAAAATAATTCCACTCGGACATCATTATTCCATTCTCTCTAATGAAAGTATAATAACAAATCAATAATTTTCATTAAAACTCTGTTTTCCCAACAAATAATTTATTTCGCAATTTCCATTAAAAAATACACTATTAAAAGTAAGATAAAAATTAATTCCATGGAAGATACGGTAATAAACCAATCGTTTTTATGAAAAATACAAGATCGTTATCGCATTTCTCTAAAATATTTTTTTAAAGATTACCATATTTGATGAATGATCTCGTTATACATCAACGCAAATAGATGTAAATAGTAACAAAATAAATATTAATTTTTCGTAGTTGAATAGTGAAAAAAAATTGCATATGTTTTTCAGAAACATTCCTCGCTTGAAACACGGTCTTTTATTTGACAATTTCATTTTTTGAAAACCAAGTTTCAAATGAAATTGCATGATAACATAGAGTTAAAGTCAAATCGCGAATGTAATATAATTGGGAAACGGTACAATGGCGCGGAAGAGTTCGTTAGAGAGTTATAGGTTAACGACTGCTTCTTGTCAATAGTGTTCTCACGCAATTTCTCACAAGATACTCGCAAAGTTGCTCGTAAAATTATCACGAGAACTTACCAGAGGCGTCCTTCTACAATTCGCGAGAAATAAATTTTGATTTCGCAGCTTCTCCAAACGCGATAAATACGCGGTGACCTCGTGCGAACAGACTAAATAGACCGAAGACATACAAGAATTACCGGAAACACTTTAAGATGCAAGCTCGCGAGCGAATAACATTACTAAGACTGCGTTTCCACGATAGTATGCAAATATTATGCGAAGACATAATTTTAGGAAACATTAATGTTGATACTATTTCGCAAACTGCTCGCCGCGACCTGAAATGCTAAGCGACGAACGCGTCTTTCCGACGCCGACGAAGTAACTTCAGATAATAGAAATTGCAAAATTCTATAATACGAAAGAAGAAAATGCCGATATTTTTCTGCAAAGCTGTACTCGAGCCAAATTTTCAATACGTCGCGAAGTACGATAACATTTTCGGATAATTGAAATCGGTATCTATTTTCCCGGATAAAGTTTCGCTGAGATTCCCGCGCGCGTCATTTCGCGTAAAATACATACATCCCGTATATTAAGAAAGTATTGCGATGAAAAGTTTCTTTATCGAAAAAAAAAGAAACGAACTATCTAACTTTATCGAGAGTATAAAACTTGAAAGCAGAAACCCTTTTCCAATAACATTTTTAACCATCTCTAATATGTTTTTAAATATGCAACTGTGCCACTGCAAAACATGCTGTATATTTCATGGATAGAAAATGTGCCGCGTAATATTTTATGCATGTTCTCGCATGGGACTCTTTGATCCCAAAATTTAATACGTCGTTGTTCTATCTTATTTTATCCAATTGTATTAGACTAGGTTACGCTTATCCTACATTACGGTAACACGGAAATAATACAGAAAGGATGCTTCCGTAAAATAGAATGTAAATGTAATGTTAAAGAAAGACACCGCACTAGCTAGATAAACGAGGAAATATTGGGCGAGGCTCGTAAGATTGCTGAGGACAGTAATTTCGCGAAATTGTGTAACATTCTCGTTCTTTATATCGGACATAATCTTTTATCATGCGTGACGAATTTCCAAAGGGCACGACCGAGCTAAAAAAAGGTAGATAGGACATTTCTTATCCTGCTAGTAGCTCGTGCAAATTTAAACAGGAAGAAACCTTCCGTCAGGTTTCGACTCGTTGCGACTTATATATATAACCGCTTTTTTCTCTCTGTCTCTTCCCCTTCTTCCCTTTTTAGAGTTTTTATTCCTTACGGAGAAGTATTAGACGTCTGCAGAGTTCTTACACGTGTCGTTAACTTCAGTTTGACGTCTGACGTGCCAAAAGCGAAAATCAAATACGGCGTTTTCGGCAGTGTTGTTGCCAAAATAAAATTTTTCACGGGATTACACAAAACTATGAATTTGTTTGATAAAACTGAAGGCGGTAAATGTTATTCTTGTAATATGTTTAATACTATTATGAATTATAATATTATCTATAATAATATTTAATTAATATAATACTATAATAAAAATATCAAATATTTTTCAAATTTTTGCTATTAATTGATCCATTCCATTATAAATAGCTGATATGTTAAATCCTTTTGTGTATATCGAGATAAGTATATTTCAGTATATTGAATACGCATCGAGTGTAAATCAAAATCGTATAATCAGAATTACTTTCGTTTTGTAAAACAGATTCGAGTAGTTTAATACAAAGTTTGTTGCAAAAATTCAAGCAAAGATTCGAACAATTTCTTCGTCAGTTGATGCCGCCTGTGCAATTGACCAGAAAAATGAATATGTAAAAATCATAAATTTTCAAAGCCGCCAGCAGGATATAAAATACTTTGTTTTCACAAGAGTGTAGTATTTTATATACCAACACACATACATACAACTCTACTGACGATTAATCCATTACAACGAACAATAGAAAGAGTTACCAGTTGTAAATTGTTTTGAAGCAACAACGGTTCGCGCGACAAAAAATCGCTAATGTTGATCATTACAATCATATTCTTAACATGCAACACAATTAGCTTTGTATAATACAATATGTATCTCAGACTAATAAATTAGCTACTAATTCTTTCGTAACAAGAGAGATGTAATTCGACGGGTACATATCTTAGGTACATATTTTAAAGAGATTTGCATTTCTGGATTAGTAGTATGTTAATAATGGCTGTTTGAAAGTGTAAAGGCATGCGTCTTTGAAAATGCGATGACAGCGACAGTGTTTCCAATTTCGCGCTCGAGCGACTTTATTCTCGAGGGAAAAGTGTTCGATCTCGTGCTCCTCCAAAGCGAACTTGCGAGATCCATTTGACGCATCGTTTGACAAAAGGATAGAAAGAGTTCTCCCAGTTTCTATAGGAACGATGCTACCGTCGTAATTAATTATTTGCCTGGCTATTTGAACGTAGACCTCACTAAATCCAAAGTCGATGAGCTTCTCTTTGGCCGGATGAGATTAACGCGAATTTCCCCGCCATCCACGCGCGCGATTTTTAAGCCCTTGATTTCTAATCGAGACGAGCGCACAAAGAAGATAACGTTTCGTAAAACTTTGCAAAATAAACTGTCGAAACTTAAGGGAAGTTACGTGCCCATTCTTTTTGCCGTTTCTTTCGATACGCGTGGAATCCGCACAAATCCAAATGGAAGATCGAATTTCGAGCGAGAATTGTTCGATATGATAATCCTACCCCCTATTACAATTCTATTGCGACGCACGATTCGGGAAAAAATTCTCTTCGGCGTTTCACCGTCTACACAAAATATATCGACGCAAAAGGATTACAAAACGAAATTCTCAATTCCGCTCGGGGAATTTTCTTTTCACAGAGAAGCCACGTTTAAAAGTTCGTGGGGTTTGTGCATGAGCTGATAATGCCCGTTTGACGTGGCTTGCGAAATATAAACACGCTGCGGCGCATTTCCCGAGCGCAATGTTACCTCTGGAACTAATTTTTCCTGAAACTTTGTCCGTCGTATTAAACAGAAGCGCGCGCGCAATGCGGCTTTTCCAAATGAAGTTTCGGAAACTATTCAAGAAACCGTTTGCAATCCGCATAAGAATCATGTCTTATTCTTACCGCTCGACTTCACGCTAATATTAATAATTTTACGTATCTATGGCGTCTATTCAGAGTACCATAAGAACATTGTTAAAGTTTTGATCGTTCTTAAAGCAAAAGTTTAAAAATTGCGTTATTCAGCAGGTTTATAGAAAAATCTATATGGGTGAATATTACGTATATAGATATATAACGATAATAGATATATAAAGATAATAGACTATATAAGGGTGAATATTACATATTCTAAAAGATTTCAAGGAGTGATTCCTCATACAAAGACGAAAACTTGATGACAATGTATTCGAAATGCAATATTTCGAAAACCGAACACTTGAATTATTTCATGAAACTCTTTATTACTTATATGTTTAAAAAAAATTTGATCAAAATAGCTTTTCGGAAAAAACAAAATTTTTAATCTTGACACCCTGTATCTTTGAAACTAAACCATTTTGCCACGTAAAACGGTAAGATTATAAAAAATAAGAGTAAATAAATGTAAAAAAAATAAATTTTCAAAAATATTGCAATTCCAAAATTTAAAAAAATTCTTTAAAAACAGACGATTCTTCGGGTAAAATTTGGAGTGATTTCAAGGCGAACAAAAGTGTGTTTGTGTCTCGAGAAACTTTTACATTTTACTCGAGTGCTTAAAAGCAACGAATCTGTGCAACGTGGATTAAACGGCTAATGGAGTCCGTTGTTACTTACTTTGACTCGTCCTGATCGTCGTCGTCGTCTTCGGAATCAAAGAAGGCGTCGTCGTCGTCCGAATCAACTGAGGTTTCGGTCCTCATTCGTCGCTGTTGAACTGCACGAGACTTTGGAATCACTATATCTCTGAAAATGCGTTATAATATAATTTATATTATTAATTTATGTTATTATAATTAGTACTGCACTAATTATTGGTTTAATGTTAGAATTGTAAAGAAATTAATTAGATTCAAATGAGCAACTCCGCTTTATTGGTTATTGAATCTCATTCCTTTTGCAATATTTCACTATGCTATTTTGTATCAACAAAAAAAATAATGAATCTATTTTATTTAGAGTATATGAAAGTTTTCAAGTTATTGTTTTAACCTTATAATAATATATAATTGTTGAATATAAGAAAAATGTAAAAATTTTTTGTAACTGTATCGTGAATAACTAATAACACAGCACTGCAAATCTAAGTGTGTAACAGATGACTTTAACATGTGTGTGTTTATTTAGTTTTTCATGTAAAAATTACACTGTACTATACGTTTAAACGCGTAATCTGTATTTATATGCAGTATTGTGTGTTATTGTTGCACTAATCACACACATACATTAAAATTACCTTTTACACACTTAAAATGCAGTGAGGTCTGCATAATTTTGCGGTTTGAAAAACAAGAAGAGATTTCTTGTAAATTTTGTGTGCTGAATTTGAATTCAAAAAAGAATGTTTTATTACGTCAAGTTTACAAGAAAAATGAAATTAAAATTTCTTAAAAACGCGTTTTTAAGGTATCTTCGTAATTAATAAAACCAATGTTTTATAGACTTTGAAAAAGATTCAAATTAATGCTTGAACATTGTACTCTCATATAAAAATATCAAATCTTTTATACCGACAGCATCATCGAATCTCTTGTACGCTTTGTTTTTAGAAGTGGATGTAGTCATACAGTGTCAAGTAGGACGATTGCCCCACACAGTACCAGTGCGAAACCATTGGAAATAAAAGTGAAAAACAGCGGTACTGTAACATGCAAACCTTATAACTCGAAAAGTGCTTCATGAAAAAATATTTTATTATAGCGTTTTGGAAAACTCTCGAGGCTACAAGAATATGCAATAAAAAATTGGGGGTTCCATTAAAAAAATTCATGTTGGCCCTGACCTGACCTTGGTAGCCCCCTATTTAAAATCCGTTATTTCCACCTTTTTTCCCCCAAGAAAGTCTACAACTTTCATATAAAACTTTTTCTTGTATCTCTCTTAGTTTCTGAGATATTCGCGTGGGGCGATTAAAATGCCCCACCCTGTATGTATCGTATATATCACATTTGAAAACATTATTAAAAATATAAAAATTTCAGTTATGTCTAAGTATATATGTAAAATTTGAGCACAGTTCTCTTATTCGGTTAAAAGTTATTTAATTTTTTTAGTCCAAATTCTTACGTAAAATCGCATTCTGTAATATTTATTTGCAAATTTGATGAAAAAGTAATATTAAATGAAATCAAACTTTAAACATACACTGATTAAACAATAATAAATGTTCGTGCAAAAGTTTGTTTGGATCCTTATATTCGTTTAAAAGTTATTGACTAAAACTGCAAAAAATATGGTTATTTTGCTGTACAAAATCATTATGAGCTAAATTATTTTTTGTTTTGTTTTTTACAATTGGTTTCAGGGGATATTCACAGGCTCATCAAAAATTAATGATATTGGCTGACTGTTTAATGATACTCTTAGCTGATATTGTATAAACCAAAACATCTACTCACCCATTGTGACTATTTACTCTTAAATCCACCCATTCCAACTACATTCACCCTTAGAAACAAAGCGTACCAAAAGTTCGATAATACCAACAGTATAAGATTCAATATTTTTATATGAAAGTACAGCACAGAAGTTTGTAATTTGCAATGTTACTGCAATATTGCTAGACTACTGCAATACTGTAATAATGCTTGCAATATTTCTGAAATGATTTATACTGTTATCAGGAATGTTCAGGCATTAATTTGAATCGTTTTCGAAATTTTTCACTTATCGGATTCATCAGCAATTTACAAATTTTCAAAAAAAAAAAGAAAGGAACGCATTATTGGAGCATTTCAACCACATTTTTCTTATAAACTTGATCCGATAGAGTATTTTTCCTTAATTGCAGATTTAGAATCGGCGCAAAAAAAACTATAAAAAATTATTTTTCTTTTCCAAACCGCAGAAAAAAATTTTGCAGACCTGTGTAATATTCTTAGTTTATCTCTCATCCCATATAAAGTCTCACTAATAATTAATAAACAATACAACAAGTTTTTTGTGTAGGAAATAAAACACAAGCTCGACAGACCAACTTCAAATTCTAATTGTTCTATTTCGGGCTTTGGAAACTTTTGCAAGAGCAATTCAGACGCGTGCGATTTGCATAGAACCTACTTTATTCGATGAATTAATGCTCGTTATGAAGTTTCGTGTCCTACAACCCTGCCGAGGCACTAGAGATACCACGCCCTAGGAATTACAGACGCGAAGCGTGAATTAGCTTTACGCGGGGCAAAAATTAAACGGCCATTATTCGAACTACGTTACACCAAGCTAAACTCCTGGTATTTAAACGTGCGCCATTCTAAATCCTAAGTTTCACCGACGTTCGTTAGGTTGATATAGCATTCCGTTTTAGCACAATCAAATGAAATGCATCCGAGAATTTAGTGCTTTTCTGTTCTTGATTCGTTGCTGAAGAGATTGCGTCAACTTGGTACAGTTTCTTGTTTCATCATCGTATTATTACTTTATCTGCCCGCGGCTGCGAAACAATGTAATTGCATTTACGACGGCGAGTCTGCTTTATCAAAAGCAAATTTTTTCATGATTATTTAACGTGGAGATCACTATAGGTACATTTACACCTCAAAAAAAATCATGGTAAAAGTTATGGTGCTTTCACATTGGAAAGGAAAATTCAACGTCGAATTTAAAATAGTTTCCGAACTTAGATAACGTTAATTGATAACTTAAGAAATTGTAAATTTAATGTTCATTCATCATTTAGTACAATTTAAAAAATATATTTAAAAAAATATATTTCGTACACGGAAAATTGAAAAACTGTCCAATTTTATTATTTAATTTTCACGTTTGCGGGTGGATGTTTACTTTCCACAAGGCAAAACTTACGATAAAACTTATTTTCATTAAATTAACTAGTACAATGATCCAGTGCAATTTAAGAATCATTAATTATTTTATTATAACATGCTTTCTCTTTAAATCTGAATCAGTGGATAGGCCACTGGCATACCACCCAGTGGCATACTTGCATAATCAATGAAGTTCAACTAAAAAAGAAAGTTTGAAAGAAAGTTTTTTTTATATAACTAAAATACTGATATTTACACGTTAATTTCAATCTTCCAGTACCATATTCATTGAATTTATGCAAACAAGGTTAGTTAGATTACGTAATAAAGGTTAGCTAGATTACGTAATAAAGGTTAGCTAGATTAGGAATCTCACATTTTATTCACTGATTACTAGTGGTATACTTGGCTATCAGTGGACATACTTGATATCAGTGATTATCTACTGATTCAGATTTAGAGAGATTCTTAACAATATTCTTTGCCATAGGATATTATTAAAAAATTGTTTACTTATTTCATTGTATATATACACTCTAAATTCTTTGGAGTGGAATCTCACTCTAAAGAGTGAAAATTAAGTTAGTCTTGAAAAAGGCCCGATTTTTCATTTTCTGGTTAACTTGTGGTTAGGCTTAAGTTGATTGTTTTATCCAATGGACTTTATCTAATGATGTCATGAGTGAAGCCTATTGGGTGAAACATCAGGTTAAATTTAACAAGTTAACAACACTGAGAGAAAGGATTTTGTTAATTTAACAAGCCACCAATACCTTCAACAAGTGATCGGTAAATATGTGACAACAAAATTGATTTGTTGTGATTGCTACTAGTCTATACTAATCAATTATTAATAATAGAAGCAAACTATATAGAGCTTAACCTATCTTTTGGACAGACTTTAGAATCATTTATCATAAAAATCATACATGATTATATCTTAAATCGTAGAAAACTGACCAATCACAGTCAAATGTAAGGAGAATACTTGTTTAGAATTTCTTACGATTTGAGACCCTACGACCATCTACGACTTCTATGTATATGTATGAGCCTTTTATTTGCCAGCGATACTATTGATTATTTGTTATCTCTCATTGACGAATGAGAAATAATTAATTTGCAATAGTAACTAATCGATCGTTTTCTTAACAAATATCACATTGGTTTTCCTTTGATTTGTTCCTATAACAAAATTATTTCTCTCAGTGCAGATGATGAAACATTGAACCTAAGAATGAGATTTCACTCTTCAACGTGGCAATTCACTTTAAAAAAAGGTATAAATTACTTTAATTACATACAAATCGTTCAAGTTCAAAATCTTCAGAATATATCGAGAATTTGTTTAAACGCGGAAACAAGATCGATCGATACGCGAAAGTGAAACTCGATCCCTACGATCACCATAGCGCATGCAAAATTAATCTCAAACAGGGGCATCGATTTATCAAGGCAAACCCATCGGGCTGCTTAGCCGTTAATGACGCATTAAGGTCATTTAATGTCGTACGGGTACTTCAAGATGAATATCGTCGATCGAGGTATCCGTATGCGGGATATGTATGCGCGCATACATCGTCCATGTAAATGTCCAATTACAGTTAATTGGCAATAAGCACCGCACAGGGAATCAATGATCACCGGGACGGCTTCAGTCGATCGGTGGTTTAATACCGTTTTGCGTCGATACGATATCGTCATTAATATCGGCGCTGTTTAGTGCCAACTTCGGCGGTACAAATGTCGAGAATTTCAACTATTCAGTTCCCGCGAAAATTGACGTGCTATGAAATTGGCAATGAATGGAGAAAGTTAGAGAGGGTGTTTCGGAAGATCGCTATTTAGTCGCGAGTAACATCTCGAGCGACGGTATGCACGTTATCGTTGTTTGCAGCAAGTCAATTTAGCCCAGCGCACTACGCAACGAAGCTCTTTCTTCCGAGAGATTGGCTATTGTTGCTGGTGCCAAGTAAAGACCGAAGATTTAGATAGACTTTAGTTTAACGTAAGGTAAATGGTGCGATAAACACATAAACTTAGAAATGCTGGACAATATATGGGATATTGAATACCCTTAGCAATACATTCAAATGCCACGTATAGTGCATAATAATTTTCACAGCAACAGAGGGTTAAATTTATCTTTGTTAAATTATAACGTGTTACGCATTCTTACTGAAATATTTGCTTTCACAATAAATAGGACACTAGAAATATTTCTGATAAATAAAAATTAAATCAATAATTCTTTAACCTTGTTGATCTGTTCAAATTCACTACATGATTATATCATTTGGGCCACACATTTGGGGCACAATTAAAAAGCTCTAAAAAGTAAAAAATAAAAAATTTTTTAAAAAAAGATTTTACAGTAACAAAGTCATCAAATACTAAAAAAAAAATTTTTAATAAAAAATTAGTAAAAAAATAAATTAGAATTTGGGTTAAATAGACCTGAATAGACCAGCAGGATTAAATAACATCTCTGAAATGTATACCTTGTGTTTGTATAATATAATGTTAATTCTTTGCGTTCATTTTCATAACTTTGTCATTAGGAGTTTTCAAGAATTGTCATCTTTACCTCCAAGCGATATTAATATTGCATTATACATTTAAAGTTTTAGCCTTAATCATTATATGTATATATTAATAATATTTATTTTTTCGTGCAAAAATATTAATAGCTAATTAGATTCCTAGTAAAGAATACTCAACAACGTTAATTTAATTATAAGGATATTTTATCTTAAAATATCCTTCCATTGAAGACTTCGAGAATGATCGAATTCGATATTTACCCTGATTTGTGAAGCTCTTTCTTCGAGACGCAGACGGCCGTAAACGTGTCCTCCAAAAGGCAAAGTTCCTTCTTCTTGCAGTTGAGTGGACGACAAAGCTCACCTGAAACAAACAAAAATCGACTTTATATTCTGACATTATGAATAAAAGTACATTTTATCTTCTATCATTGATTATTCTATAGAAATAAAACAGATTTACATACTAGGGATTTACATCCGAGATCGACAACGTGTAAAATTTTTTATATAGCAATTTGAAAATTAAGAGACACAGAGATAATATAAGCTTCTTTCATTTTTATTATCTTCTGTGTTGCGCCAATCTAACAGTAAATCTTAATAAGCTATAAAATTAAAATTAATAAAAACGCTGAGCTAAGAAGTGAACCTATTTTAACATGATGACAGAAGTAATCGTTTCGTGATAGAATCTATGTTTTATCTGATCTTAATTTTGTAGAACAATTCTTTCTCTTCGTCAAAACGTAAGATCTCTTTTATTTTATTTTCATTCTTCACTCTTTTTTTAAGTGATATTATTCATGAATGAAGAACCGACTGACTGAATAATCTAAATGGTTAGATAAATTTAACGCTTTGAATAATCTTTTAAGAGCTTACATTATTTATTTTTTATAATATTCTTTCAGTACCTTCAAATATTTTTATTTTTCCTATAGATAATTTTTGAACAAACTTTAGAACTATCTTTTGATAATTTTCAATCTAAAATAATCAAAATGATTCCTCTTGCATTTAAAATCCATCATTTTCTTTTCACAAAGCCATCACTATCTATTCAAAAGTTATATCGATGATTGTTGATCTTCTTACCGTGATAAACTAAGAGTGTTTTAGGTATTTCAAAGAAAAAAGAATAAATAAGAATCACCGCGTCACACTATTCATTGAATCAAACGGGCGCGATAATAATTCGTTATTGCAGTTATTTGATTACAATAAAGGAAGGCCATGATAATTATGATGAAATTGACCGATGTCGCTGCATTAATCGGACGAATTTTCTATCTACGAACCGAAATGATATGCGCGGACCCACCATGGATTATGTCGGACATTCGCCATGCACGCTCTGAGCATTTCCATTCATCTGGAAACCGTCGACAAGCGATATTGGTTCGAGGGAACACATTTCTATATATCTACTGTGCTCAACCGCCGAATCGGATTTCCCTTTTCTCCATTAACCGGCCCGGAACCGAGTACATCGTCGATGTCTTCTCTTGCTATCCTCGCAATCAATAAAACGGTACTCCAATTCAACCTGCAGCTTTTTAACGTATGGCAACCGAAAAACGAGTACGCTAACATAGAATCACAGACCACAGCTTGCAGGACTTTATATACTACACTTGATAATGTATTCCCTACTTCGAAGAGATTTAACGTCCTTTTAAGAAAGTATTATATACCCTAATAATTTTATTCACAAACTTTTTGTCGTATGCTTAAATAAACTTTGAATATATTTGTATAATTATAATATGAAACATATTATCATCTAATCATTTCATATTTCTAAAATTTTATTTATTCATTTCAAATTGGTCGAACTAGTCGTGTTGTAATAGATTCAAAATTACACGATATTTACAATAAAATATAATTATTTCTTGATTATAAATTATTTTTTAGTAGCTCAGCAGAAAAAATAACTAGTCAACACTAGAAATTGCTTAAAATAAAAAAAATAAAAAATGCTCTGCTTATGCAATTATGTAATTGTTTCTTATTTATATTTAAACATTTAGATATTTTCATACGCATATTACTTGCTTCCATTTGCGAATGCAAACAAGAAAGTCATTGCAATTTAGAAAATGCGAGACAATGGAAATAAGAAATGAATGAGCATTTGACGACAAGAACGAGTTTTCGCGTTAAACATAAAACTGGCTAATGTCCAACCAAAGTTGCCAATTTTTTTGCACTGCACTATAATAATACAATATTGTAAAGAATTGTAGAGAGAATTTCGTTAAAAAGAATGACATTGTAATGAGTTTGTGAAAATCAGGTACGTAACATACATTATATTGCAAATTTTGATTTAAATTAACTGTTTTATAAGAAATATAATTTTGTTTTTAAATAAACAATATACTCTATATTTACATAAATTATATTTTTGGACAAAAATAATGCTTTTTTAAAAAATTCAATTAATTTTATTAGTAACAAATTAGTATAATAATTAATTAACATATATAATACGCCATAGTGAAATTTTATTAGAAATATGATAATTATAATTTTGGTGAAGCACCGGATAGAATAGTTTCATTATCATTATTGCTAAAATAATCGTACGATACAAACTAACCACTATGCGCGTGTGCATGGTTATCTAATGGAAATAACTCTTTGGCACAATCAGTTTAGTCACTTTGCTTTTATGTAATTAATTATAAGTTCATTTGCAAGCTTATTATTATATTACTTATGTATATTATTACAGTACAATGCTATGACGTAAACAACATAAATCAATATTATTGCATACAAACTCATTAAAGTTCGTTTGTAATATTCACTTCCGTGCACAATTATGAACATCTACAAAGATCCTCGCTTATATAATCTTCAAAAACTTATTTAAAAATGATTTATTGTTGTATCTCATATCGATGTAAAATATACTATATCATATTTTTATAAACGTATGAAAATTTGTTTCCAATATTTATGTATCTTTTATATTAAGAAGACATCAACGCTCCAAATTATATTTTAAAAAATTGATGTATATAATTTATATAAAAATATTGGAAAAAATGTAAACCGCGTCGTAAATATAGTTATAAAAATTCAAGTTCAACACTTTATAGATGATAGGCATCTAGGAATACTTCGTAGCGTGCCAATGTCGCGTAAAATCGCTCAATGTTTCTTCTCACCGATCTAGCATGCGGTACTTGTGGTATAAAACACCGAGAGAGAAGGCGATTTTCCATCTAGTGAGTAGATAAAAGAGAAGCTCCATTCCGCATGTTAAAGATTTCAAAATATCCAATTAAAAGTTTCTCTTATGATGCGAAGCATATCTCCCGACGCGATAGAACTAATATCGCACACAAATGGAAGATACCGTCGGAATTAAAGTCGACCGTACATGAATTAAGAAGACCCGGACTGTCTCCTGACGGCTTAATTTCGTGGATTTCATGAAAAGGGGGAAGGTTTTCTGTGCGCGTATAAGTATATATATACGTACATTATATAGTATTATATATAAAACCCGTCACATTTCTGTTCGTCGCATATAACTGAAAACTTTCTCGCAGGTCGAGGAAGACACCGTGTCTCTTGCAGCTATGTTCCTCACGCACTGTTTGGAACAAGCGATCCGCGATAAGACACGCTACAAAAATGCATTCAGACTAAGTTGGCAAGAAAAAGAACGATCACAAAAGACCATAGGTGAATGTAGCAAGCTTTCTTTATTGCATTGCTATAAAAAACCGAATGAACATCGACGTAAATTCGTGCTTGTTGGTACTCAATGAAGCAAGCTGTTCACTCGTGTTTGTTCAGCTCGTTTGCTTAGACTAAATCCAATTCCCTGTATAAAAATAGTATGTTTAACTTTTCGTCTGTAATCTGGGATTTTTGGCAGAGAAATTTCACTGTTTCAAATTTCTTCAAAATAAAGGAGGACATAGTTCGGTTCCCCCTCCTGAAATATCTTGTTAAAAAATTATTCAGTAACGTAATAGTGATATTGAAAAACAATCCTGAATTGGCAATATATATTTTTTGAATGCCTAGAAAAATAAAAAAGCAGATTGCAAACGAAAGAAATAAAAATATAATTGCAGGCGCAAGGTTAATAAAAGTTTAAAAGTAAATTTGCTTAAAATGATGAATGTTTTATTGCATTTGTATTTTATAAAACTTGCATTTATATTTTAAACATTCTTGTCTTGTATCGTCTTGTTTACTGCTCGAGCATCATCTATCGCGTTGTTTATTAAGCAAGATACGCTTTCATGTATTGTCTCATTGTAATTCGTAATTTGTAATTCGTTTCGTTTTCTAGGAGGCTTACACGGAAAAAAAGATTAGCTGCCACAGCTAAAAATTAGGAATGGCAGTAAATTCAGTAGCACTATATGGACACCTAACGTCGTATCTGCGAGGTCTAATTTCTATTAACTGTGAGGCCTAAATATTATCATTGTAACAGACAAGCATTTTGCTATTATGTCGATGTATTAATCATTACAGCAAACGTTTTCTGTGTAACAGATAATTTGGTAGCAAGTACAGTTTCAGCAAACCATATTTAACTGCGGTAGAGACAATTTTCTTTTACACGGACATATCCGATAACTGTGACAACTAACTTCATATTATTAAATAAATCGATCTGTAACAGACATGCATATTTTGCTATCACGTCCTTATATTAGCTACAGCAGCATTTTCACGCGAGACTCCAAGCCGAGAAGCGGATACACGTCACACTCGAAGAGGCATTCGATAAGAGGAGCAGACATAGGAGAATGTTCAGTGTAAGAATTTGCCGGCCGTATTCGAGCGGTTCTTCTGAGCTGGATCGAACCAATCCGCCGAGCGTAACTCCGGATTTCGCGGCAGTAAAGTCGAGAGTTTTGTAGCGAGCGGCTTTCTAGCTGACTGAGAAAAATATTTAAGGTACTCCGAAATGGGGCGATGGCTGCATCTTTCGCTAAAAGATTGCGCGGTTACGAAGGTCTCTTGAATTCGCGCAAGCGTAAATTTTGACGTTTACTATAAATCTTTACGCTACGTTACTAAAATTGAGAATTATTGCAAAAGAGGATATAACCGTAAATCTTGGAAAAAAAAATTAAAAAACATAGTCGCATAAAATTCAGAGAATATGAATATCGTATTTAAAATAACAAACATATTTCGTGTACTATGTAAAGCAAAATTTCAGCAAAACCTGCGGAGCCACAATTTTGCCACAGTTGAAATGTAAATTTTTTCAATTATATGTAATATGCATACGTGTAAAACAAAAAATCGTGCATATATTTAACGATCGTTTATTAAATTATGAAATATTCTATAAGTATGTATTAGGTTTCCGGC